ATCCGCTGTTCGCGTCTAGTTCCTGACGCGCCACGTCGATGGAGGTTATCGAGTATCTCACGAAACTAATTAATCGTGTGTCTAACCACGATCATCTGGACGAACGTTATCCATCAGCCGATCGACGGGAGGTCAGCGAACCGACGTCTCGTAAGTTGACTTACTTAACGTGGATCGATCCACCGTGATACCATCTCGACTCGTGTTTTGTCTCTTCGGGGCTAGACTGCACTTGCGCACCGATTGATCTGTTCGGCTAGCCGCTAGACGGACAGGCTTGTTCGACAGATCCGGTAGGAGATTTTGGGGAGCTAACGAATCGAGCAGTTTGGAATTCGTTAGAGTTCAGGTTGCTTTACATTTTCAGAGGGGATATTGGCTTCTGGGACTACCAGTTTCTATTTTCGTTGGTTCTTGTTCGAAGCAGAGAGGCCTACTCGAGAAAACTCTTTCGAACAGAAAAATTTATAAAAATTAAAATAAAAGAGTAAATATTTCTTTTGTGGAAATTGCTGCTTGATCATCGAGTATTCCTGATACGTTCAACTAGACCGCTAGTCTCGAAATTAGCCCCCCTATTTTTTACGAAGACGTGTAATAACTCTAGAAATTCAAGCTCCTCTTATTCGAAAGATAAAGCGAGCGAGTTAACTTATTCCTCAAGATTTAAATTGCTCGTGGAATAAGGTCCGAATATTGACAGAGGCGAAGCGAGAATTGAGCACTGCGTCACCTAAGTTACACTTGGAATATCATAAAGAAAAATTAAAAGAAAACGTATATACGGAAAGGCCGGGAAGCGAAGTTTTCGCTGGGTGAGCATTTACACGCAGTCGGCCGGAGTTTCCCCTCTATGAGATAGCAAGCTGCATCAACGGAGCTACGGGAAGTTCGGAAATAAGACTCGAAAGTAAAATAAAAGTTTGCTTCATTAAGGTCTAGTTACCATGAAGACATTCAATTGACGTACCCATCACCCCCCTCCACTTTCCGCGGAATTTCTCGTTTTACTACCAGCATCGTTCTCGGATGGTAAACTCCCCGGGAGGAAAAAAAATTGCGAGAAACTTTTTAAGCTGCGAAAGTTTCAGGGCGAGACCGTCGAGGTCGAAATTACGGGGCGTATGCTCGGTTTCGCCTAAAATCGCGGAATCTGGACGTCGATTACCGGCCGAGACGAGCTCCTTTATTCGAAACACTCGAGATACACGTCTAATCGGTCATTAATGAAACTCAGGAGATCCCTTCTCGTAATTAATTCCTTAATCATAAAAGTTTCTCGAGAGTTTCCACGGCGACAGCGACGCGAACGTTCGAGTTTCCATGCCGCGTCTCGAGTGTCAACGCTTTTCTGGGACCACGTGGCAGACACTCGATGCACGACGCAAAAGGTGAACATTAGTCTGCACGTGACATGGTTTTCGCGAACTTGGCTATGCCGTTCCCACCGCCAAATTATGTTCCTTCTATCCCGACAACCAAAGGCGAGCAATGTTGTCGATTGATCTCCACGGTCGCCGGTGCTGGGGACCAATTACCCATTAATGCGCGTAATACACGGCTTACAAGTGAAGCTGAGGAAGTAGTTGCGACCAGACAGCTTCACTTCTGGCATCTACTGTGCATTACTTCAACTTATTTGATGAATTTTAACCGCGCTTCTTCCGTGTATTGGTATATCACTCCAAGCTACGATAATAATTACTTCGACAGATCACTCTTGCTAATGTTCACCTTGATTCCAAAATAATGTTCACTTACCTAAATGCAAATTCCGTTTGACACGTTGATTGCCAGATAATACTCTTGAAAATTTCTACTGTGTTTAAGTTTTGTTTACAGGCTACCGAAAAATACATAATCAGACATTTATTGAGGTATTTATTTTTGTGTCGTTAGCGAAATTAAAAAATTTCATTAAAATCCATTTTTTTAACACATAACTTTTGGAATAAATTTGTTAAGTTTTTCAGTGAAAGGCACTGTCACCCATGTATGGGTGACGTGGCGATCAGCATGTTAACGCGAGTATCCATTGCGCCAGTCGTTCAAAAATAGCAGACAAATGGGTTAACATCGCGAACATCGGTGAACGCGGCCGCATCTGAGTGTCGACAGTGCGTCTGGCAATAAGCGAGCCTGGCAGATAGATCGCAGGAGTTAGCGTTACGATCAACGGGCGTTTACACAGTCGGATGCCTCTCGAGAGGTCAGTAAAGGGAAACGCTAAATTTAAGCCGTCCCGTCGCTCGTTTCTCAAGTGTACACGCTTGTCTGCTGTTCGCGAGTCCTGCTCTGACGGACCAGATAATTGTCCGCTGTCGGATTAGGGAATATCGTTTCCGAAGTCGCGTCCTGGTTTCGCTTGCCAATTACACTCCGCTAGGGCTTCTTATTCTTCGTCCTCGGCGTCTGCTCGTTCGACGTCTTTTTCCCTTTCTTTTTCGGCAAAGTGGCGCTCCTCGAGGGCACGAAGGGGCTCCCATTTGCCTGAAACGATTAGCGAAACGGTAGCAGAAACCGCTTCGGAACCGTTCGCCCGTTCTAAAATTACCTTCGAAAAATTCGCCGGAACGGATGAATCCTCCGAGCTGGCTTTGAGGGTAACGTCGAGTGTCGGTGATCTAAATTTACTGCCGGTCGTGTAAACGACACAGGAGCCCTTCTACATACCGTAACATTCACGGGCAGACTGTTGGCTACGAGTACCATGAACGAGCTGGAGGTGACGGCGGCTTATCTATGCTCCGATTTCTCTCTGTGTACGCCATTCACGCTGGTCATCGTCTCCCATGCGTCACCCGCTCTCGTCGAATAACAGAGAATACCCGGGTTGTTCACTGTTACCGCGACCGTTGGTCTCCTCGTTTTTCTTCCTTTTCCTCTCTGGTCTCTCCTTTTGTGCCACGCCCACCTGTTCCGGGAGGGACAGTGTAACATTACCGCGACCCACCAGGAGATAGCTGGATGAGAAACGTGATATAGAGTACCGGCTCTTTTCTTGAAAACAAACGAGATCGGTCGCGTTTCATGAACGGAGGCTGGGCACAAATTTGAAAATTCTGTGCTATCTAGCAGAAACAGTTGTACCATAATGGCGTCGAGCTGAAGAGTCGAGGTCGATGGCGAGAGTGAGTCCGTTTCAAGTATCCCTAACACGGATTTGTTCAAAAAGCACCTCGATCACTTCGACCACGGACCTCTCCTTTATCTCCTTTTCCTTTCTGGCCTGTCCTTTTGTGCCACGCCCACCTGTTCAGGGCTCAGTGTAACGCGACAGCAGCCCACCAGGAGATCACCAGATGGAAACGCGATACCGTATTCAGGCCACGATGACACCGTTATCATCGTTTTGACTCGGCTGCGAGGATTAATCTACTCGCCTGGTTCCTTATCTCCCTCGACTGACACCCACCTGTTCGCGATCGTTGGAGTTCGTCCCTTGCCGCTGTTGGCATAGACTTAACCAGTAATGTAAACCCCGAGAGTAACACTCCTTGCAATTGCCCGAGACTAGAGCTTTACGAGACTAGAGCTAGACTCCATGGGTTTGTCTTTCCATTCTCTTTCTTATCGGCTTATGATGGGTTCGTTATAATAAGAACCCCATCAGTGGTACTGATACAAATAATCAAACAAATAATAATTTGGCGCCCGTTCGCCGTTTTACGAACCCATCACCTTCGAGTCGGGTCAGGTTCGGCCTGGTAGGTAGTGACCCTCGGATTAAACGAAAAGATTAAAAGATGTTCGCGATCGTTTGCCCGAAAATAAACGCAGACGAGTTGGGCGTTGGAAGAATGACTCGTGGGAGAGGAGAGCACGAGGGACACGAGCCGGTTATCTGGGTTTTCGACGAAAGAAATGGTTCCCGGAGATGTTACCCGCGATGCTGACGCGGCGGAAGGATCTCTGTACTCCAGCTGGAGTGATAACGGACGAGGGAATTGTACAGAATTACCGAGGTCTCGAGTATCCTCCGCCGAGGACTCGGTTTTACGAGCCCGCGAACACACGGTGCGCTCGATCCTTTCGCTATCCGAGCATCGGTGCACGAGAAACTCTGAAACATTAACTGATCTCGTGAAAGTTCCCTCCGAAGGTAATCGAAGTACCAGAACGAGAGTTGGGGGATTGGCCGAGCTGGAAGTGCACGGGAGATTTGAGAACAATGGCTGAGGGAAATGTTGATCGTCATTTTTACTTGTCAAATTAAATACTCTTGCCCTATGATAGACTTTTAATTTTGAGGAGCAGAGAGAATTCAGTCGGATATGGATAAGGATAATAAGAATACTTTTGTTGGGAGAAAATTCATTTTTAAGAGAGTGTGCGCCGAACAGTTTCCTCTTAATTTATTCTCCAAGTGAGATTAAAACATTGCGATAGCAGCCCTGGTTAACCGTTCCTCTTTGTCGGACAGATTCGTAATGGATCAAGTTGTGTATATCAAAGAAAGCAGTCACATTGTTTTGATCTTTGGACGAACCCGTGCTTCCTTTCGTTGAGGTGGATCCGTTCTCTTCCATTGCGAGGATTCCATTGCCTTGATTTCAGGATAGTTACCATAAATCCATGTTTCGTCACCAGTAATAATGCAATTTATGAAGTTTGGATCGTTTGCAGCTCTTTGTTTAAACTCGATGCAAACTTCTCGACGATGGCTCTTTTGTTCGTCACCGAGTAATCTCGGCGCAAATTTGAATGCAACCCTTCTCGTGCCAGAAGTGTGAGTTAAACTTAACCGACACCTCTAAAATAAGATGCCAGTTTCTCCTGCTATCTCTCTAATGGTTACGTGAAGATTTGTTTCCATTATTTCTAGCACGTTCTCGGTATGCTCGCGATATTTGCATTTCGTTAGGAAGTCTTTTAAGAAGTTCCTTTCCTGGTAAAGAATATTATAATTCACATAGTCAGACTCGGTTTGCTCTTTCAAAAATTGTGTGAAAAGTGAATATAAATATTGTTGCTAATTTGATTTTTCCTTTTTGTTTCAGGTGAGTCACAAAACATCATACACGAAGCAGAAATTTCTCGTTATAGGTATTTATCATAATTGCTTCATAATATAGAGTCAATCGTCGACGAGTGTCGCGAAGATTAGTTTGGCAACTACTATGAAATTATAATTAAAATTTTGAACGAGGTAGGAAGACATTTCCGGTATTTTCAGCGTGATGATCCTCTCGAGGAGCTTATCAGCGAACGCAACCGAGTGTCGTGATTTCGCGGCAGAACGTCGCGGGGAAATGATTAACGAGGACCGGGATTAGAAAGTCGGGAAGAAGTAGACGGCGGGATTAGACGTTGGCGGGTGGAAGAGTTCGATGCGGTAGGAGCGAGGTGGCGTAGGTGCAGAAAGCACAAGGGATTCAGGCGGTGGAGTACGCTCTCTGCTCGCTCATGCGAGAGAGCGCGAATGAGATTGCACCGGCGAGGTTGGTACGCCACCGCCGCCGCCAATTGTAGCGGCGGTGGAGCGAGGGAACCCACCCACCCTTTCCCAACCTCTTGTCTCGTTCCCCACATCGTCGACCGTCATCCACTCTTGCTTATTGTGTTTCCATTGTGCCTCCCTTTTCTCTGGCCACGGCATTTTTATTGCTGGGCTCTCGCGCCTCCGTGCGTAACGCCGGACCAAACACCGGCGCAAATATCCATCGGCTACCTTGTACTACACACGGACTAATCGGGGCCCTTCGTTTCCGGGGTCGATCAAGCGTGCACGCAATCGCGAATCGGGAAACTGCTTCGGTCCATGGGATTTTTCCCGACTGTTTCCCCAACCCGCCCCGTTCCACCCACTATGTCGGTAATGAGAACCCGACCGAACGGGGCGACGAAAGGACCCCGTGATTTCGTTTCTATCGATCGCCCGGATTTTTTGGAGGAGAAATTAACAGTGACGCGTCTCGATGAAAAAACAAAATTGTCGAACATGCTTGGGATTGGGAGCGAACATGGATCGGGTGAAAATTAGAAAATGTGGACACAGGACTCGATGGTAGCGAAGAAGGCTGTGTAATATATCTCGGCTGGATCAGTTCCGTTTAAAATGTGTTTAAAATGACGAACGACCAAAAGCCGCAAGAGGCAACTGTCGTTATCCGGCATGATAATATAGAATTTTCCCTCCTAAAAAAAACTTTGTCTTAAACTTTGTCTCGATTATGGTCCTTCCTCTCTGGTCGAAAAGTAGATAAAGGACGCGGTTCAGCGAGCCGCGCATTCGAACTTGAATCTTTCATTTCGCCATTGTTGACGGGGAATTCTCTCTTGAGTCTAATGTACGAGTAGCCGCCTCCCCCGCGATGCAACGTTTCAGCAAATGTTAAAATTCATGCGTGAGTGATTTTTATTATTCGATAGAGTGGCGGGGATCGTTTCGGTTGAGTTTCCCCCGAGCAATCAGAATCTCCCATCCAAGGCACAGAGAGGAGCGCAGGATCGGATTATTCTCGTCTCGTGGACTGGGAAACTAACGAAGGACTTTTAAGACATCAGTTTCCAAGTCTGGCACCCGCTCGGAGGAAGAGTCGAGTATCGGTTCGACGATTCTTCGGATCGAGACTCCTTTCTTTCTTTCGTCGGCTTTTCCTCGATGGGGAGCTACCGCGACGAGGATCGATCCTCTTCGAGAAGATTAGCTTTACTTAAACAACGGCGTCTTGCCGTTCGATTCTCGGATTTTTCGGTTGGCAAATATCTTCCCTCTGAAATTAAAAAGCTTCGTGAACTGTGCTCCAATCTTTTCTTTCAAAGACTGTCGCTCGGTGTCAATAGTAGCTATAAATCGTTCTTTCCATCGTTACGTTAGAACACGTCGAACAAATTTTCAAAATATAAATTGAAATGAATTAAAATTTCCTCGGATTACAAAATCGGGATCAAATATTATAAGTTCAGGCAATATGTTCGCGGACGATCTAACCAAAGAATCAGATTTTATCGTATTCGTGTTAGCACGTCAGTTTCCTTTATGCTCGTCTGGCGTAGGATTTCATGGCGTCCGACGCTATTGTTCACCGAAATCGCAGTAAGGTATTGACACCTCGAGTCATCGCCCTAGCGACGATCGAGCGTGCTTGCTTGGTAATTCGAGACACATCGTTCTACCCTCGATCCTGCTGGATCTCACGTTGCGTTCCGTTTCAAATGAACACGTGTCTGTACACATCCTAGCGCTCCGGGAACGTGCGATCGAATATTGTTTCGGGTCCTCGACCGTGTTACCGTATCCGTTCCCTTGTGAAACGGGTTCTAACATGGGAAGAATTTGCACCCCGGCAAAGGGATTTAATTGAAATCCAAATCGCGCTGTCCGAAACGTGAGGTACACTGGTTGCTTGAAGTTTAATCCTTCTATACATATGCTGGATCTAGATTTTAATACACGAATCTTCTAATCAGAATTTGTAGTTTCTATACATTGGAATGTAAATTTGATTAGTCAAAATTATTTAAGAGGCTTGCCTAGTTTTTTAGAAAACTATTACAAATATTAATTTCCAAAAGTATTACCTCGATAAATATGCAACATCAGCTACAGTGCGTCAGCGCTTTGAAGTTCGGTCACCGAGCGCGTGATAAGCCAAATCCATCGAGTACTCTGTTCCCTGAAGTCACACCCTAAGAAGTAGACTAACACGCAACGTGTCTAGTAACACATCGTTACTACGCATCATCGGATTCAAAATGAAAGATCAAACACGGAAGGCGTTAGAGGCACGGCCCAACAGCCGTAGAACATCCAGACGGATCTGTAGTAATAAAAAAAAATCACGTTGCGTGGCAGGTGCAACCGTCTGATTTGTAATTAGCCGAACGTTAACCACGGTCTACAGGGGTGAAAGAAAATTTCCGCGTGAATCATCGCTACGACTCGCACCTCCTTTCTAACCATGCCTCGCTTCGGATCAGCCTTTTAACCTCAATTAACGCTTCGACTTTGCACGACCCGTATAATCACGGCACAATGGGGAACAAGCTTCACCTTTGTCTCGCTTGAAAATCCTAAACGCCCGGTGCGTTCTCGTTAACGCGTCGAAAAAACAAAGTCTCCCACGAAAACGACCACCCGGCGCGTTTCGACGCCCAAGAGATAGCCGACAACCACGCTCCTCTACAGCAGTGTCTCAAATAATATTGATAAAAAAATTAAAGCCCGCACATCGCTCAATAATCACAGAGATAAACATTCAAAGTAAGACATTATTCTGTTGATTAACTTTAAAATTATGGATTGAAACTTTACTTTCTCCTCTGTGAGCCTACTTTCCCCGACGTGTAACCGACGAAAACTTCAAAGAGGAAAGGAAACGTGGGCGTGCAAGAGTTAGGAGGCTGCGGGAACACGAGTTTTTCCTATTTACGCGGTGACGCGAGCCAAAAATGCAATCGTCGACGCGGGCGCCACGCGATGCAATTACCAGGGGAATTCTAGGCACGCGGAGTTTGATACCGTCCGACCCGCGCGCCGTAGATACGCCATGCCTTTGCACGAAAACAACCCTTCTGTCCCTCGCCGGATGGCCGTCCCTCGGTGGAAGGAGGCGCAGCTGAAATTCCAGCCGGATACGAGCCCCCGAAAACCGGCTGTCTCCGCGAAACACGCTTCCCTGTGTACATATCTCGCCCGCCCTTCGCTCGGTTATCATTGCTCGCTGTCGATCAATCGGATAACCGGATTACGGGAACGACCGCCAATCAATGCGACTCGGATGTCGGTTAAGACCAACTCGGTGTAACGGTAGACTCCCGAAGGATGTTCGATTTCCTGATTTGGCAGCGACATGGTTGTAAGGTGAGATGGACTGAGGAGAACCGTCGAGCAAACGATACCGTGGATTCGCAATCAACTGTCAGAGGTGTTTATGCGCATTGGCTTACCTCCCTATTAGGAGTTGGGTGAAACGATTGAAGTGTACGACGAGGAATCGTTGTTTTTTGAGAGTAGTTGAGTAGAATACTTGTTGTGAATTTTGTATTTATGTAGGATCCGGATCGATGGGGATTGAGGAAAGGACGGACGTACCAACAGATTAACACAATATTATAAGTAGAATGCAACTCTTGACAGACACGTTCGTTTGCAGTGTCAGACGACAAAGGAATTTTCAAATCGCACTCTCGACATTCGTTGTGCACGATCGATTATTGCGCGATATCAATAACCGCGCAAGTTCAGAGCCCGGCTCCTACATTTATGATAATTTATAGTTTCAGACACCTAAAATAAGGGATGTTGATAAGAATGTAAGGCTTGGGAGGCTGTACTTGTTAAATTTTGTTTATGAAATTCTATTAGTTTTTGAAGAACACCATCGTAGATAGATCTGGCTTGGGATTTTGTATGAAACACAGCTCAGTCACTAGAGATTCCCCGAGAATGAAGTATTCGGTAGCACTATGAAAACACATGGGTTTCCAAACCTGTGTGTTCCCGAAGTTACATACTTTAGTCAATTGAAATTCCTTGTATAACTTTGGATAAAGTTAGGGAGAGTCAACGAAGAGCAACGGGATCCGGCGACTGAAGGACACGAGGAATTCATTATTCAAGCGCAACAGGCTCTTAATTAGTTACACTTTAGAAGCAACCGGCTTCTCTTGGCTACCTTTAGTCTTTGTCATATTAATGCGTATCAATTTTAATTGCTCTTAATTCGAGTTACCGGTTTCTCAAAGTACTTCAGGTAGTTCTTCGATCCAGTCATCTCTCAAAGGTTGTTTTCGATAGCTTGGCCCATCAACTAAGAAAAAATGTATTATCAACCCTCGGTTAAAGAAAACTTGTGGTCCCGTTCTGGGTTCTTTAATCTATGAATGACCGTATTAGGATTCACGGCGAGAGCTTATGGGAATAAGATCGATTGGAAGTCTCTGGAGAGAGGGAGGGGACAACATCGCGAGAGCGGTCATGTTTTCTTTGTTTTCAGTTCACATCGCGTGGAAGGTGTCCAGCTTGACGGCTGAAACGGATGCTTCCGCGGGGTCGAGGTGAATAATTCATAGCGAGGTCGACGCGAGAGTAGCCTTCTATA